ACGGCACTAGCACGGCTCTGGCACGTGGCGCCGCAGCTCGGGCACATAGGCAGTTTGGACGCAGTCTTATGGGCATAATCCTCCGTACAAAATTAGATGGTAGTGGAATGATCCTCTTGCAGCTCAGAAAGCGTCCAGAGTTGTGTGTGGCAGCGCTGCGCCAGCGCCGTTCCAACGCCGTGCGGGAACCTACTTGGTGCGCTCTTATTAATCGATCGAGGTTTCTGCACGACGCTGAAAGGGCAGTGACACGGGCAACTCTGGACGATGCTTTGTAGTAGGCAGATTTTGCAGCATAGATGTATGCATAGAGTTTTTGGAGAGAAGCAATACTCTACAGTAGGGAAGTGTTAGAGCCATCAGCACCACAGAAATCTGCGGATCTTTACTCTATAGCTTTCAGAGTGCGATAAATCACTTTTTCTTCGAAAAATCTCAGAATCGTTAGAAAGAAAATCACCTCTCTGTTCAGTTCCACCCAAAAACTTGAACTTTTAAGGTCTTTGTCTAGACTTAACCAGATGCTAGCGTACCTTACGCTCGCGACGTTCGTTCTTGCCGTCGGTGGTTTCCTTCTTGACCTCCATATTGTTCCCATCGACGATCTTCATCGCTTCGACCTTCTTTTCGAGTGCCTCTTCGGCTACCTCGACAGGTATTGTCGACATCGTGGAGAGCTCGTACACACCAAGGAGATCTTTCTGGAACAATCGCTGTTTCTAGAAGGTAATGCAGAGACCTCGTAAGAACTCCGTACCGCTAAGAACTCGTTGTGGAATGAGAATAAGCCTACAGCAAGTAATTTTACACCACGTGGATTAATCTAACAAGTTGAATAGGGCTGTTATCAGCCTGATACTACCTGTACCTACATGAGAACCGTCATAAGGACATGGGAAGAGCGAATGAAGAAAAGGAATATGTTGAGGACCACCACCTGTGTTACCTAAATTTTTGCGACTACGGTAAACCATACATGAACATCTATAATTGATCTACATTTTTCTGTAGTCTACGTAAAAGTGATCTACACTTCATCTATTAGAGATTTATGAATTAATTTCCTGGCTCCTGATGGTGCCGTAATATTTCTTGATATTCCCATGGAATAGGGACGTTCGTTCCTAAAACGAAGAACAAAGTCTCGCATTGTGTTTCACCCAAGAAGCCTGTGAGTGAGGGAAATGTCAAACAGAGTTGCCTCGCTCAGATTGTCA